CACATTGTCATCTTAGAAATAGCTGTTCAGGTTATAGAATTAAAGTATTTAGAATGACATTCAAAAAGTGACACTACAAACCGTTCTGCTCTATGATCGAACAAAAGCTCAGTAATATGGTTATCAGTCCTACACATTTATTTTACATCTCAAAGAGGGTAAGATTAAACATATCAAAACAGAACAAAACATTTTAAAAAACAATTTAAAGAAATACAGATTTCAAAGCAAGTCCACTGGAGATCTTCACTGTCTATCTGTCTCTAGTTTCTTACAAATAGTTGTCCCCATCTTCACCCACTTTATATACTTATTGCATGTTATAGAACTAATCAAATCATTACAGGATGATGAAGGCTTTTTAGGTCCTCAAGTTCCAAATTAGGGAAGACAATAATAACTACCATCGCATCTCTCATTCTCTTTGTGATAGCTGTCCCCATCTCTACATATGCTGAAATTGAACTCAAGAAACCAGTCTAATGTCATTCTAATCAGCAAACAATAGTATTGCTAGAATTTATATCATAATGCTACAAAATTAGCCTTGGGTTTCTTAGTGTCTCTTCCTCAGAGTATCTGTTCATTACATCTTGCATTATATAATCTGTTCCCGTAAATAATTTTTTTAAAAATCCATGTGTGAATTTCTACATATATATATCTATCCTCTCTGTATTATAGGGAAAACCAAGTCATAGCAAGACAGTAAAACAATTTCTTAGAAAAACATGCAAAGGATAAGACATATAAGACTACAATATAGATGATCTTCCGTAGTTACTATGTTTTCTCTTGTTATTTTCAATAGATTTTTCCAAAACACTGGCTTATTATAGTTAAACATAATATCACCTATTTTTATAAAAACTTAACTTTGACAGCATTGTAGGATTTGAGAGCTGTTACTAGTTAATACCAGTATGGATATCCTTTACATCTTGTCATCTTCAGAGTAGTTGCCTCTACTTTTAGGGTTGATGCTAACAAGCATACCAAATTCAAATAAAATCAGCCAAGGCAAACCCATAGTCTTATGATTCAGATTCAATTAAGATCAGTCATAGTAAGACAATGTAAGTAACACAGGATTTCAGTTTAAGTTAATAGGAAAGTAAGGATAGTTACCATGGTATAACCTGCTATTTTTGGGTCAAGATGTCTGTGCCCTCATATCTGACATGAGTGGACAGACCAGAACAAATTAAATTCAAACTAATTATGGCAATAAGACTACTGTGTCTTTTAAATCCTTATACACCATTAACAATGACCTCTGCCTTTTTTTATAATGTTTTAGAGCTGCCTGTACTAAAGACTATAGCTTACCGTCTCTGCCTCATGTCTGCTACTCCACTTTTCAGCTATAATTTGTCTACCTTATTCCCTCATTCCACTGTCTGCCCCGTTCATTGAGGCCTCTCTGCCACTGTTGCTGGAATCCTGGTATCTTCCTCTCTTTCTCTGTAATGTCCTTCAGCACTCTCTGTAGGGTTGGATTGGTGGCCACGAACTCCCACAGTTCCTCCTTGTCTTGGAAGTATCTTATTTCTCCATTAATTTTGAGAGAGAATTTTGACGGGTATATGAGCTTTGGTTGCATATTATTTTCTTTCAGGACTTTGAATATTTCTCCCCACCCACTTCTTGACTTAAGAGTTTGTGTTGATAAGTCTGCTGTTATTTTGATCATTTTCCCGTTGTAGGTAATCTGCATCTTTTCTCTGGCTGCTTTTAATATTCTGTTCTTTTGGTGGATTTCTTGATTATTATATGTCTAGGCGTAGATCTGTTTTGGTTGTAGGTAGCTGGTGTTCTGTATGCCTCTTTTATCTGGATATCATTTCTTTTTGCTATACATGGGAAATTTTGCTTTAATATATCTGTGAATATTCTTTGTATTTCATTTTTGGTTGCTCCTGCTTCCTCACTCACATTCTTTATTCTTAAGTTATGTATCTTTTTGTCATCTTCTAGTTTTTGAATTGTTTCTTTCTGGTTCCTTGTTATTTTTAAGAGGCTTTTTCTTTCACGATCATATGCCATAAATCTCTCTTCAAGTTTCAGAAGGCTGTCTTTAGTTTCCGTCAAGGCATTTTGCCAGTGTTCAATGGAGTTTTTAGTTTCCTGTTATTCTCTTTGGATCTGTTTCATGTATTCTATGTTATGTTTAAATTCTTCTTCAGAAGTTTCTCTTTCATTTCTGATTTCCTCAGTTCTTCCATCTGTGTTTGCTTGGGCAGGGCTTGTCATTTCTTTAATTAATCTCTTTATATCTTGCCTCACTTGGATCAGGAGTACAGCTTTAAATTCATCTATGAGATCATGGAGGTATTTTTTAATTTTGGCTGATGCTGTGTCGAGCAATGGATGGTTACTGTGCTTGTTCTGTTCAGTGTTTACTTCTGGGCTTATTTTCTCATTTTGGGCAGCTGGAGATTTTTTTTATTTTTATCTCTTGTCATGTTTCTGGTTTCTTTCAGACTGGAGTGTCCTGGGGGTCTCTGGCCCTCTCCGAATTGCTTAGGGCCTTTCAGAAGCATGCTGACTTGATTTTTTGCTGTCCTCCCCAAGTTGCTGTTATCTGGGGTAGGCTGGGATGCAGGTGCGGTACAGGCTAGTCTCCAGCCTCTGTGCCAGTCAATCCGTAGATTAGGCTGTACTTTCTGGATTTCACTGAGTTGTGACTATTTTGTATCTGCTTATTGGACCCCAAGCAGAGGCTTGGTTTAGCCCCAGTAGCTCCTGCCAGTTCTCTTTGTACAGAAGCAGCTGACTAATGTCACTATGGCACAGGGTTTTGCCCAAATCCCAGCTGTTCTCTTCCAGACCTCTCTGTTACAGGAGCACCAGAAGAGCAGGTCTGCCCAAATCCAAGATGTCTCCCACTAGTTCTCTGTATGACGCTGAAGCCAGCATGTACTCAGGTTCTGCCCAATTTCAAGATGTCTTCCACCAGACCTCCCTACAGGGGGACTCGGTGATGTCACCGAGCTGTAGGTTCTGCCCAACTCTAAGATGTCTGCCGCCAGACTCTCTGTGTTATTGATGTCCCCGTGGTGGTGGGCACTGCCCAGTTCCAAGATGTTCTCTGGCCAACCCCAGCAACCGCGGGGCCCCTAGTTCTCACCAGGGTTTGGCTCAGGTCCTTCTCCCGGGGCCACTGCACACTAGGCCGCCCACCTTTCCCATGCTCCCGGCACAGCACGGAACGATCAGAAATCTGCACAGCGTTCGGCTTCGGAGCTCCAGAGCCTTTCACAATCTCCTCTGGTGCAGTGGGGCAGTCCTGGCTGCTTCTTGGGGTCCCAGGTCTCAGTTTCCAGCAGTCACCAAAAGCCGACCCAGCTTTTCCTGTTGGGTCCACGGGTCAGTTTGTTGATTTAAAGGCGCGGGATTTGCAGCCTCCTGTTATCAGCCTTCACAGTCTCAGCACGACTTTAAATCCTCCCGCTGCACTGTCTTGGTTAATAAGAATCGATATCCATTTGTCTGGCCCTCTCCAAGTTGTCATATTCTAGCTTCTAATATGATTTCTCCGGAGAGACTCTCCGCCCGATCCCCTAGCAAGCCGCCATTTTTTTTCCTCTCCAAGATATGGTATTTTTATACGACAGAATACAACTTAGCTATAAAAAAGGATGACCTTGAGGCCTTCATAGACAAATGGAGACAACTTGAGGCTATCCTCATTAGTTAAATAAGAATCATATTTATAAATATCACATTGTGTCTCTAGTATAAAAAATAATAACAAATGTAGGAGTAATAAAACCCAAAATGTGCAATTGTTATTGTAAAAAAGAAAGGAAAAGAAAGTGCTCTAAAGGATATTAACTGCATGTGTGTTTAAGTGTGTAAGATAGATGACCATATTATTAAGTTTTTGTTGGGTTGTTGAACAGAACTGTTTGCAGTCTCACTGTTTGAATGTCCACTTTGTATGCTTTACTTTTGTAACTTGAACAACCATTTCTAAGAGGACAATATGTAATTTATCAACTAGTGATTTCTTAGTGTTTATTTTTTTGAAATTATGTATTACTTCTACCCTTTTTCTGTTTTATTTTCTTTAAGTAAATTTTTAAAAAATAGGTGTGTGCTTCCATGCCTAACTGGATAAAAGTTTATAAGATAAAATCCTGGAAATCATACCAAGAAAGTAAAGAGCAATTACAAATTGACAAGAAAGATATTAAAATCAATTTAAATGATAAAAATGACAGAATTTCATTAAGAACAGAGAGCAAATATGAGGTTAAAAGCAAATTTGTGACAATTATTTAAGTTTTGAGGTGATACAAAATTTGTCCTTATAAAGCTGCAGAATGGAATACATTTTTCAAAGAAATACTCAAATTTGAAAAATAATGTCATGTTTGAAATAGGCAAAGTTATTTCTAGTCTATAACTCTGTGTCTATGGGATAAAATAATAAAAATATGTTAAAAGAAGAATCTGCCAAAATAAGACAAATGAATCTGTATAACCAATATGCCCTAATAAAAATGATGTGGAAAAAACCAGTTCAGTTAGTGCATGCCTATAATCCCAGCATTCTGGGAAGCTGAAGTAGGGGCTTGTGTGTTCAAGCCCAACCTGGCAACTTAGTGATTTAGTAAGACTCTGTTTTACAAAACATGTTATGCAGTTCAATGTGAGTTCAGTCCTAGGCCCCAGTGCTCTAAAACAAACAAGAACAAAACAAAACAGGATACAACAACTGTTTAAGTGGTTTTTCTTAAACTGTGGTCCTGTATCCTTCATGATAATCATAATTAAGTCAAATAGCACTAGATTTTATAGCCTAACTAAAGCAAAAGTCACCAAGAACTGCATCTATTCTCAAATAAGATTAATAACTGAAAAGGAATACTCATGCAGTATATAAAAAGAATATATTTAACAAATACCAGAGTACCTCTGGGAGGTCCATTAATATATAATACATGGTATTTCAGAATTATGAAATGTTTTTATTCATATTCTTTATTTCATAGAAACAGCCACTTGATGAACTGTCAACCAGGACGCTGAAAATACAAATCATTCTGGACAAAGGTTTGGTATGTGTTATTGATATATTTTATTATATTTTTCAGTTTGTGTTTAAATTCCAGTATATTCATTTTTGAAAATAATGTACAGAAAGATTGTATCACACTATAATCTACTGGATCATTTCTAGCTTCTGCTTTTGCTGAATCCACCTTAATGCATGGTAAAATATTCCTGCTTTAAAATAACCCTATTCAATTGGTGATGTTTATTAAATGTTATATCTAATAATATATGTTTTGTAAACTGTTTGAGTGTTGTACTTTAAAATAGGAAGAATCACTGAAAAGAAGATTCATTTGGCTTTGGGACATCGTATATAGTATCAGTCTAGAAAAGCCTTTACAGCAAGTTCAAAACACTGATTTGTTTATTATCATTGAGAATTTGCATGAGTTTATAATTAATAGTATGGTCACTCATACCACACATGCTACGTCGAGAAAATGCACAATATGGTTTCTTGGGGAAAATTATATGCAGAGAAGTACCAAAATAGAAAACATTTTCCAATAGATCCAAACTTCAGAAGTTAGGCAGATAACATTTCTTTTGTCTGTATCAGACAAAAGATATTTTCTGTGAGGAGTCCGTAGCAGACTATCTAGAGATTATTGAAAATCCTAAATTGTCCTTCTTGACATTTTCATTTCATTTAGAAATGTGTTTGTAGAGAATTAGAAATAATATTTCAGAGGAAATACAATTTTTCCTTCAAAATAAGGACATATTCTTGAAATTATTCATTATTACAATACTCAGAGTCTATATTTGGAAGTAGATTTTTCAGTGAAGGTGTATCACTGTGTTATGTTACTGGAATGGTAACAAATGATGGCAGTATAAATGATAAAATATGTTTAGTTGTTTAAAGATTTTTTTACACTTGTACTTAAACCAATAGGCCTTTAGTTTCTATGCATATAATGAAAGTCAACACAACAATGTCATCTTAATATTAGTGATTAATATAGAAAATCCTTGGCATTATTCCCACGACTTAAGGAAGCACTTGATGAATCTAAATCCACTTTTGCCTCATTGCATTGATTTATATTCAAACCTATTTAAAATGTAATTTAGACAATTGCATCTATGATTAAAAATAAAACTTGTCTTTCAGTATGAGTATATGGGCTCTGATATGACATTGGCAGCTGAAAAAATTGTTTTTATCTTTCATCTTATGAACACTGTAAGTATTTGTTTCATATTTATCTAAAAAACATTAATACAGCAATATTATTTATTTAAATGGCACTTTCACTGGCACAGTGCCTTGACTAATAAGCATGAAGTCATGAGTTCGATTCCAGGTACAAAAGAAAGTTTAAAAACAGGAGCTGGGGATTTAGCTCAGGCCTTGCAAGCACGCAGTCGTGAGTGCGATCCCTGGTACTGATAAAAACAAAAAAGACAAAAAATTTTAAAAACAGTATATAATTCTACCAAAAAGTTTCATCATGAATAGATTTATCTTCAAAAATAGTAAGCTGAATATATAAAGGTCATGTGTATATAATCCTGTAGTATGATTTTTGTTTTTCAAAATGCTATACATGTAACTTCTGTTGTCAGATGTTTTCTCAGCTTAAAATGAAGATTTTGCTATCTTCTTTGGAGGCCTGGTCAGATCAAAATAAGATTTCAACTAATGAGGATGCCGATGATATATTACAAAGATTTTTGTCATGGAAACAAAATGTTTTGTTTCAAAGGTCCCATGATATGGCATACCTACTAATGTAAGCACTTCCTTCACATTGACAGATTTCATATATTAGCTACCAAAATTATGTACAAATCTTATTGTGTGTAGTGATAAGATCGTCTCCTAAAAAGTTCGTATGGGTATTGTATTGGCAAAACACTAAATAAATATAACAATATAAGACACTAATTAATCATAGTAAGCTGTTACTCCCACAAGAGAATACGTACTTAGGGAAATTCACTTGAAATCATCATTTAAACATGACATGAAGTATAAATTAGTTCATGGGATGCAAAGATTGCATACATTATGTGGGTACAAATAATGAAACTTGAAATATTAAAGTAGAAAATGACTGAGATGGACAACTCTGCTGTCTCTTATTACCTTCTAACATTTCTATCATGATGAAACATGTAACTATTAAACTATATGCTTTGATTTTAACAGCCTTTATATAGTTTTTGGATTGTTTATCCTTTCCACTTGGAAGGATAAAAGATAAGATGGAAATTTAAATCCTAAAACTTCATATGTAATAATTTTGTTTTAAAGAACACATAGCTTTATTTATTTGACTCAAAAATTATTAAGCTGTTAATAACCTAATATGTGTTTCTTCACCAAAAAAAATTACATGATTTAGTTATAAAGCCCATCCTGTTAATGTGGGAGCAACATATCACGGAATGGCCTGCAATCCAAAGTTCTCTGCAGGAATTGCCTTGGTACGCATTTTGTTGCCATGTCTTCGTGAGTAATATCACCCAATTTTAAACATTGGAATACACATCACAGAAAAAGTGTTCATTTTTAGATTTTAAAATTCAAATATTATACTATTTAATGAGTGCTTATTAGGATTTTAGAAACGTGATAGTATTTACTATTGTAACCACTCTTAACTGTGTATACTTCGTGTTTCGTAACTCAGGTTGCTTTGATGGGGACTCTTAAGAACGTTTGAACTTACAAAGTAAAACCATGTCTATTAAAGAATTCCTATTTCGTTCATCCTTCCAGCCCCCAAGAATAACCATTGTACTTTTTTCTATAAATTTGACAGACTCAGCTATCTCCTATAAGTAAAATTATACAGTATTTGGTTTTTTGTGAATGGTATCATTTAATGTAATATATTCATGGTCCATCCATGTTTTAATATGTAATATGATTCCCCTCCTTTTCATAGGTAAATACTATTCAACTTTTGGTAATGTGTTGTGTTTCTGTTATTTACCTATTGATGAATATTTAGGATATTTCTGTCATTTGGCTACTATAAATAATGCTGCCAACATGAGTGTGCAGATGACTCTTCAAAGTTTTGAGTTTAATTACTTTGGATGTAACCAGGAGTGGGATTGCTGAATCACATGATAGCTTTATATGTATTGTTTGGAAAGATCATTCTACTAATTTTCAGCCAGTTGTACCACTCTTAAATTCCACCAACACCTCACAATAGTTTATATCATATTCCCCTCATGTCCACCAACATTAGTTATTTTTTCTATTGTTGTTTAATAGTAACCAGTTTAAAATTTCCTACAAAATGATGATATTAATCTTATTTTTTCATTTGGAGTAAAAGTGCTGTCACTCAAGTAGAGTCACCTACTTCTTTCGATATTCTTAAGAAATTATTTAACTGTGGCAAGCTAGTTTCATAATTTGTAAATTCATTTATTAATATGGCCAGAATTGTTTGATGAAATTGATGGGATGAAGGAATAACTAAGACAACTTTTGCTTTTTGTTTTTTGTTGTTTTAGTATTCAAAGACAATAACTATAGAGGCATTTTCAGTCATTCTGGTGCAGTTGATTGCGATTAATCTGGGATTAACATATGATAACATCTATAACTGTCACTGTCCAGGGACTACATGCATAATGAATCCTGACGCAATGTAAGGTTTTACAATTATTGTAAATGTGTCTTCTCTTGGGAAATGTGATAGTATTCATTGATGCATAACCTTTTGTAATATAACTTCTGTAAGAATATATTAAGTATGTATTATTTAAGACTTATTAAAATAACTGATGTAGAAATAGGCTTACTATTTCTATATTTCAGGTTTAAGTATAGATTAAAACTGGATGTTGATGACTTTCTGCTATTTATAGAGACGTGGTAAAGACTTCAGGATTAGAATATGAATTGTGCAAAAGAAATATCCTCATAAAGAATAGTAGTTTAAGCACTTGGAAAAGAAAGTGAAATATGCTGAAGTTAAAAGTACCATGAAGGCCAGGCATGGTGACACATGCTTGTAATACCAGCACTAGGGAAGCTGAGGCAGGAATATCACTGCAAGTTTGAGGTCAGCCTGGGCTATGCAGGGTTTGAAGTCAGCCTAAACTAAATAGCAAGACCCTGTGTCAAAAAAAAGGAAAGAAGGAAGGAAGGGAGGGAGGGAGGGAGGGAGGGAGGGAGGGAGAAAGGAAAGAAGGAAGGAAGGAAGGAAGGAAGGAAGGAAGGAAGGAAGGAAGGAAGGAAGGAAATTATGACAAATCAGTAACAGATATTGCAAAGACTATTAATTTCTGGAAGCAGAATAATGGGGAAATACACTGAGGAGTGATAAATCTGAGATATTCCCAGTCGTCCACTGGAATTGTTCTGTACAGTTGGTTGTGTAAGTCCAGATCACAGCAGTCATGTACTCTAACCTGTGTGTGGCATGAGCACATCAGTGAGAATAAAACTATATACAGATCTTTCAGAAAGATGTTTTCAAATGAAAACATGTGCCTAACAATGAAGCTTGGATTGTTTCTCATATATATCACCTGAATAATTGAGGGTAAAACTGTGATATAAAGGAGCAGAAAGGAAGATAATATGAGGACAAGAGTTGAAAGTGATGGTGAAGCAACTCTTAACATTTGTTACAATGCTAGCTCAGCCTGGGTCCCTGTCCTGTGAAATCTGATAACAATGAACACTCTTCTGGTCCAGACTGCGGTTTTAAATTCTCTTCTCTAGCAAGAGTTCTCTGGAGAAATGTCAGCATCTTCAGTCAAGGCAATGAAAACATAAATGATCCTGGAACATCTTGTTTCTAAAATAAGGAGCTGCTCAAAGAATTATGAAGATTTTTCAAGGGCAAAAATCCAGTTTGTAGAGACTCCTCTAATCAAAAGCTGAGAAAATTTGACCATCAAAAATAATATTGACAGTACTTATAACCCATTAAATAAAGTAGGAAGTTATGAGTATACACTGGTATAAAAACATGAATGGATAAATTTAAATGTAATTAATAATGCAGTATTTACATAAAACCAAACCACTCCTTTCCAAATAATTACTAACTGAAAAAGGATAAAAAGTAATTTTACAGTGAAGACTGGCAAACACACCTTAATCAACTGATCAAAGTAGTTTCTGTCAATAATAGAACAAACTGAAATCATACTATACTCTTTAGGTTGCAATGGGTAAATGCAGTGATACTCCTGTGGTGGTATCAGTGATAACTTGTGTCTAATCATAAGAAAACATCATAGCCAAACTGAAGGACAGTCTACCAACTGACCTATACTTATAAAACTCTTCAGGGTTATGAAAACCAATAAAAGAAGGTAAAGAGACCTAAGAACTAATTGTATGGTTTATTCTAAACTGAAAATATTTGCTACAAAAGATGAATATTGTGATATTTGGGGAATTTAGAACATTGCTCTGGTATTAAATGTTAATAATGAGTCATTATTGCCTTATTTTGAAGACCCAATGTGCTGATGTAAAGAAATTCATTTGTACGAAGTCTATGTTAAAGTATCTAGCTTTATTTTGAGATCACACTGGTGTCTTTCTCTTAACTGTTTACGAAAAATTATCCTTTTATTATTTTGAATTATTCCTTAAAAATGGAGATTGTTAAATCATTAAGCAGAATTTATTACATACCCTTTAACATGGAAATATAAATAAAAAATAAAAATATAAAAAGAATCTAAGGATCATAGATGTGATATCTTATTGCTGAATTATTTCATTTAATTAATTTTGTTACCAAAGAATATATAGTGTGAATTTATTATCATGATTTTTCATTAACACAACTGATCATCTTTTTAATCCTTGCAGTTTTCCATATACATTTTCCATTATTTTCCATTTTAATGAGCCTGGTTATAGTGGTGATTATAATAATGATGTTGACAATAATGTTGAAAATAAGAAATAGTGGGACACACTTACATACAATTAATTACAGTCCTCAGCACATACAGTGCTGTAATGTGTTTTAACATATTCTAGATCATAATACTTAAATTTCTACTTTCTGTCCATTTGGTATACCAGGTGACAGTATTTTAAAAAGTGCATTCCTCTTATTCCTGGCTATTCTCTAAAAGAGAGCCCAGGATTCATAGCATGCATTAAAAACTACTACTTTGCCACTGACTTGTTTTTATTTATCTGAGAAATATCATTTAATTTTAGATATTCCATTGGGACAAAGTATTTTAGCAGTTGCAGTGTGAATGAATTTAAGCAGATAGTTTCACAACCTGAATTTGAATGCCTTCTGGATAAAACAGTTTCAAAAGTGGTTTATGAAGCACAATCTGCCTCATGTGGCAATGGAATTGTGGAATCCGCAGAGCAATGCGATTGTGGCGTGGAACAGGTGAGCTCTGCATAGCTTACTCAGAGATTTTTTACATGTTTCTTCTGTAGACTTTTAAATACATTGATCCAGTGTAAAAGGAAGAAGTTTCTTAAATCATAAATCATTTTGTCAAGTATCCAAGATAGAAATTACTGACATGTGTAATAAACTAATACTGAATTTGAAGAATTTGACGAGTTTAAATACTGGGCAAGTAGCATAAAAATATCATCTCTTTACCATATAACTGTTAGTAGCAGTATCACTTTTCTGTACTGTAAACATCAGTAATCAGTAATTTTTTCTCACATTTTGAGACAGGGTCTCACCTCGTAGTGCAGGCTGACCTTGGACTCACTGTGTAATCCAGGCTGCTCTCAAAGCAGCAGCAACCTCCCCTCCTAGCCTCTCCAATTCTGGGGTTACAGATGTGTGCCACCATGCCTGGCTTGTAGTCAGTAATGTTGATCCTCAACTATACCTCCTCCAAAATTCCTCTCCATTGACTGCATTATCTCATTAGATAATCAAACATGTCATTTATGTCTTCATCTCTTTCTTTTTTCCTTAATCTGTGGAAACTTCTTTTATTTTTACCGTATCCTTGTTACAGTAGTAGGGAACAGGGTCTTGTGCGTACTAGTCATGCCTTCTATCACAGAGTTACCTGGCCCTAGAACATCAGTCATTTTACAGAATTGAATTAATTCTAATCCTTGGTTATTGTCATAAATGAAAATGTTCATAGTCCAACAGCATGACAGTATAAAGCTGTAGCATAATTACCTGGTTGCAACATACTCTCCTTACTTACATCTTCTTAAAGTTGGGAATCTCCATTGCTGCCTAGGGAAAGCAAAAGTAAACCTTTTAACACAGTAATAATAAAATATTAATCTTTAAAATGTAACCATTGTTTCCTGTCTGTATTACTAATTTTTAAATGTAACTGTCATTCTGTGAAACATCACCTTACCGATACAAAAGATGAGTATATTATAAAGAACTATTAATATTTGTGTGTATTTAATAACTTGTAGAGTTAATCTTGAATATGAAATTATAGAGCTATACATGATACAAATGTCCTTGAAATATTATATACAATAAAAATATTGTTCTAATTTGGAAACCCCAATTTGACACATCTACCAAATTTTATATAGCATGCTATTTGTGATAAACTTTTTCTTATGAGAGTACATTCCAAAATAATGATTAAAAGTATAGTACAAGAAATATGTGAACCAGAGATAATATTCATTTGTATTATCAGGTATTATGCACTATGTATGGTGGCATGTGGTATTTTCGTACACCGCAGTCAGTAGGTTTGTTTACAGCACCACTGCCAACACTTGAGTAGTGTACTACACTACAAGGTCTCCAAGCAATGGAAATTTCTCAGCTCCACTGTAATTTTATAGAATAAGCAATCCATGTGTGTTGCATTGTTGACTGAATAATCATTAGGTAATGCATGATCATATTCCAAAATTGCATCATGAGAAGATATGATAATGTGGAAAATATTTGTAATGCAAAGATTGTTTAAAATTTCTGTACATATATTTATGAACAAGAAGAAGATTGGAAACAATTTTGTTACATTTTTAGCACTAAGATTTCTGGACCATGGAATCATCAATAGTTTGATCACCATCAGGAAAAATGTATTAAAATCAGACAAAGTAGTATTAAAAATATGTACCAAAATCAATAATCGTACTGTAATTACAATTAACTTACAGATGTGATTTGCTATATTTTGAAAATTAAATTATTTATTTGATGGAAAGTTCTCATGTTCAATATGACTGTGTTTCCTGTTAGATATGCAAACACAAAAAGTGCTGTAAGCCTAAAGAGTGTGTACTGATTGGAGATGCTATGTGTGGAAGCGGCCCATGCTGTGATCCACAAACTTGCACTGTAAGTTTCCAAAATACCACGTTTTGTATTTCTTAAAACTTTTTATCACTGTGAATTTTTTCACTTTTTAAATATTAAAATACTTTACATTAATGTTTTATTTTTTCTTTAGTGTCTTTGGCTAATTGCTAACAGCATATGTATATTTCTTTATGTCCTTAAAATATTCCATGAGTGTCCTTAGAGGATATGCATTATTTTATATGGGATAACACTTGATTTTAGCCATAAGGTCAAGAAGTGATCTCTACATAGGACTAATGATACTTTATAGCATTAATATTATTTCATTTATTTTCAAAGTAATTGCTCTCTTCTGCTGGTAACTCCCACACAATTGATTTCAGATCAAAGGATGTCCCTAGGTCTCAACCTATATTTTTTTCGCTCTGCTTTTCACTGTGTGGCTTCAATTTGTACTGAAAACCATCTTCATGCAAGATTAATTTCAAATTATTTTAATGCTATGAATTCTCCTTGGTCTTGTCAGTATGCAGCTTTTCATGATATGCAGTTTATAACAAAATTACGTTTAAACCACCCAATATATACAAATCGATGTAAAATGTTCTGATAAAACAGAAAACAGTAATAACGACTCTCACTTTGAAAGTACTAGTAAGAAGTCATGTGGAAGAGTCAGCGTGTAGCGTAGCAGACACTGAAGGGGAACGTGGGAAAGTGTTCGTTTCCCACAGTGTGAACTAGCCATTAAGGACGATGCCTGTTGTTTCCGTGCTGGATGAATAGTGGGAACAGCCTGGGGTTTCTCCTCAAAAATGGACGGTATTATAGCTTTTCCCTGCAACAGAGCTCTTGCCTGGAACTCTTTCTCCAGAGTTAGTGGGATTAAGCACTAAGGCTTCTCCACACAGTCCATTGCCATCTGTCTACATCTTAAAGGGCAGTTGTTTAAAATGGTGACAATTGCTACACTTGGTAGAATGAAAATTCAGTGAAGTTGCTGAGGAGGACCTAAGTGATGACAAAGTGCACTGTGTTAGTTTGCACTAATTTTGATTCTCATTATTATTTACTACTAGGGTGGGAAATTCCCTATTTTCTTCTCTGTCTACTCTCAAAAAAGTGAGTTTCCACAAAAGTTGTATAAAATTGAGAAATTTAGTGCCCCCCTTTCTTTTACAAATTTTAAGCTTGAGGGGCACAACCCCAAATTCCAAGATAGAAAAGACAGTAGTCCAGTCACTTTGCTAAAACTTAACAGTGATGAACATGCATGTAATGAGTACTTAGATATTTCCATGTGCAATTTCTAAAACATTTTAGTAGGTCCTACACACTGTTTTTTATGGATTTAAATAGCTGTATCTGTATGGTAAATGGTACTTAGCCTAAAGAGATGCGTGTAGCTTTACACTCAAGTGAACCTTTGTTTCCAACAGTAATAACAGGATTTTCCTTATATCTATCACCTGGGTGTATTTGCATTTTGCTCACCAATCTCAAACTTTCTACATTTGTGATATTAACAACTTATTGGAACTCTTTGCTTTTTCAGCAAAGAGTTTAATGGTGTACAGCGTTTCAGAGGAGTAGGATATCTTCTTTCTGTTTCCCAACATCCATCTCAGTGCTTGGCAATGGAAGAAAGCCTGGTTGAACTTGAAAAAATTAATGTCCCTTTTCTACTCTCAGCATTGTGAAGTGTTCTAATGGTCATCCAGAATTGGAAGCAGGTGGATGAGATAGAGGATACCCTAATGGTGGCCATAGCAGGCTCTGAAAGGGAAAAATGTAAAAGATGTTCACTGGGCATTCTAATTTCATTAAGCATAAACATCTGCTATTTATCTGGAAGGAATTATTCATGAGATCCAAAGCTCTTTAACTAGGAAAATTTTTTTTTTGCTGGGTTTAAATTCACATGTCATTTTAAAGTGAACAACCCAGTACGGCAGTTAGTACTTTCACAGCGTTGTGTCACCATCTATATAGTTCCAAAACATGTTCAATGCTCCAAAAGGAAGCCTTGCTCATTAAGAGATGACTCACTTTGCCCCTCCATTTGTCCCTAACAACCACGAGTTGCATTTGCCTCTGTGAATATACCTATTCTGGATATATCCTGTATGCAGATTCCTATAAAATGTGACCTTTTGTGATTGGCTTTAATTTAGCACAGACATTTTAAGGTTCATCCAACTTTCAACATGTATCAATATGCCATTAATTTTATAATTGAAAATATACCATTGAATTTAGGTTTAGCTCAGCAGCACAAACACCTGCCTAGCCAGTGCTTGGTCATGAGTTCAATCCCTGGTACCAAAAAAAAAATTACTGAATTTGTAATTTATCTACCCATTTATCTGTGGATGGATATTTGGATTGTTCCCAATTTATTTCACCAGAGTTTTTATAAATTCATAGTTTTAGTTAATGATTATGGCAGTGATAAATAGAAGTACAATGTTCTTTTTACTTTAAAAAAGTATTTTTGGTTAGTTCTTTAATAATTTTTTTCTCACAGATAATGGAAAGAGGGAAACTGTGTAGGAGAAGCATAGACCAATGTGATTTTCCTGAATTTTGCAATGGAACATCTGAGTTTTGTGTACCTGATGCAAAAGCTGATGATTTTGAAGCATGCAATAATAACACTGCATACTGCTATAGAGGAAGATGCAGAGATACAGATGTTTTCTGTGAGGAAATACATGGAAAATGTAATAATTGTATTTTTTCTGTGTTTTTTTGTGTGTATTTTTTTCCTACTCAGGATTAAACTGAGGGTTTTTTGCACTGAGCTATATCCTAAGCTATTTTTACACTTTTTTATAGATACAGTGTCACTGACTCTCTAAGTTGCTCAGGGTGGACTCAGATGTGTGATCCCCCTGCCTCAGCTTCTTAGAATGCTAGGCTCATAGTCACATGCCACTACTTCCAGATTTGGGGTTTCATTTTTATGCTATGGTTATTGTAATATCAGTAATTCACACTATGATCATATTTAAGTTATTTTATAAATACAAATTTGGAAATAAAATGATAAATCAAATCAACTTTGAATGATATCAAGAAGTAGAATATATCTAATAACTATAGAACATTAATTAGAAATATGATTTATGGAAAGAGTGGGAAATATTAGAACAGAGGGGAAAATGACTGATTTCTCAATCATTTCTGCACAAAGATACCAATTTTCCATTTTCAAATGGATAACTTCTAGTACTTCTTCACATACAGCCAGTACATGGGAGCAAAAACTGAGTAGCATATAATAGCTGAGTGGGCATTATTGTTTAAATACCGTATTGTAATTTACCACACTGTAAGTTTGTAATTATTTTTAACAGATGACTGACTGGAATCTCTTCATTTACATTTATAGTTGCTCAGGGAGGTATAGATCTGTGTTCAATGGAAATAAATTTTCAAAATGATGACTTTGGAAACTGTCAAGGGAGAGGATGTTCTTTTAGGTATGTATTTAGAAAAGTCTAATTCATGTTCGATACACGTGCATTTGAGCATATATGTATGCATGGATATATTCTGCAGTGTCACTTAAATAAAAATGAAAGCTGTACCAATACAGCTAAATCCATGTTTTATACTTTTTCAGGTGATGTATGTTACTTTGGTGATAAGATCTATGAAACATTTTGATGTATCTTTTTAAAATTTTATTTATTTATTTACCTAGTTATTTGGGCACCAGGGATTGAACTAACAACTTTGTGCTTGCCAGGCGGGTACTTGTGCTGCTGAGCTAAATCTCCAGCCCTGTTTTGATATATCTTGATAGCTTGAACTGTTATTTACCTAACACATTGCATCCTTAATAACAAATAGGCGACTGTTTTTATATTTGTATTTTCAGTGACGTTATCTGTGGAAAAGTAGTATGTGAATGGAAAAGTGCAGAAGTAATAAAAACCTCAACACACATCTACAACGTTCAGTACACTTACCTCAAAGGCCACGTATGTGTGTCTGCACAATTTAGAGTACCAGCACCTCCTGGAGCGAGTGACAGAAGCCAAGCACCTGATGGTCTAAAGTGTGAAGATGCTCGGGTGAATATAAATTTTAATTGATACTTTATATGATGGGAGTATGTGTGAGAGAGATTTCTTTATATGTGATTAGTCCAAAAATTAGTTACTGAATGATCCTATATTAGGAAATATTGCCTTAAAACAATTATGATATGAATTATAATATAGAACAAAATCAAGGCATATAAAATGCCAACCATCTGTTGCTCAGAGTATATCTGAAAGAAATACAATATTTTGCTCAAATGTGACATTTGCAAATATGAGCTGAAGGAATATTATCAACATTATGGTAAGTAAAATAGCAACCCACAACCTGCATTGCAACCTGGATTGCACCAATATGTGAGAATCTGTGGACTGTAGTTTATATGAAAGCATAGCTCATGTTAACATGGAAGGTGTCTTGCTGGACCTCCCCAATTCAAAACTACAGCAACTTTGTGCCTATACCTGTTAAATCATGTTAGCTTCTCGAAAGCTAAAAAACATAAATAAATAAAACTTTTTAGAAAAAGCCTTAACATGAAGATACTTTGGCATCAGTAACATTGAAAAGTTTAACTTAGGAAGATCTAATGACAGATATCCAAGATGACCTTCAACTTTGCAATGCTTATAGAAGACCTACATACATGGAAAGAATTAGAATATTCAATGTTGTTATTACTGCATGTTTTTCAAAATTCATCCAACCTGTACTTAATCCTCTTTTGTGATTATACATTGTTCAATTGATTTCAGAGAAGTAAGCAAATAAAACCTTCTTTGAGCCATCCTCATTAAATGTAGGTCCTTTTTAAAATTGTATTTAATGAGGACCAGGGATATAGCTCAGCAGCACAGTGCCTGCCTGGAAAAAAATTATATTTAATGTATATCCACATTACATCATCAATGCTTAAGTAAATATATAATATATTATAATTGAAATAAAATATGTTTGAGATACTTAAGCTAATAAATATATAGCATACATACATACTCGTCAAGAAATAAAGTTAACTCCAATTTTTAAACACAAAAATTATGAGAAGGTATGACATTTGGTATTTTATAAAACAATACCATGATATTCACTCCAGGTTCTTTTATTAGAATAATCACAAGTAGTAGAACCTAGATTCACATTTGTGTATAGAAGTGACTTTTGTTTTCCCAAATATATTTGCTTATCATTGACTTGACATTTTGTTGTTGCTTCTTTGACATTTTAGTTTTGTCTTAGAGGAACTTGCAGGGCTGTGGCCGAATATGCCAATAAAACACTTTGTAACTCAGCTATTAAATGCCAGGGTCATGGGGTATGTAACAGTCATTTTGTATTTACTTATCATTATTTTACTACAAGTATCATTATTTTAATACAAGTGAATAATATTTTCCAAGTACTACTTTGTTTCATTAATACTGCCAGTTTCTTTTGTTAACTGAAAAAAGTTCTGCACTTTTATCCATGTTTGTTTCTTCTTTGTAAGAGAATAATTTTGTTGTTGTTGTTGTTTATGACTTGTACTCTGACCCTTTTAAGATCATGATACACTGCATATTAACCACTGTTATTCTCTTAATTGTTTTGTTATGAAATTTTGGAGGTTTCTTAAGAAGAGTGATTTTCATTAATATCGACTCATTACATTAAAATTAAAAAGGTAAAATTATCTGATATGAAATTTTTAAAGAAAATTATGGTTAAGTAATTAAAATAGATTTTGTTACTCTCGCATATGTATATAACTTGTATGTATTGTTATATACATCTTATTATATACATCTTGAATTAAGCTTCCATGTTTATACAAAAATGCAATTTTGTATCTTATTACAATATTAGATTAAGATTAAGGAACTCTGGTAATGAATTTATATCCATTATATATAATTGAATGTATGTGTTAAGCCATAGAAATTTTGTAAATTGTGATTATTTTTCCAATCATGAGTTTGGTTTAATATTGTGCCTAGTATATTCTACCATATAGATATTTCATATTTTATGTATAAATTCAGGAAAAAAGTGATCTGACTCTATGTCTCACACTGACATGTTTCTCCTAAATAATATACATAGCCAATTACTTGCAGTTTCTCTTCTTTTTCTTCTTTTTCAATATAATTATTTTTACTTTCTTATGTAACTTTGCCTGGGGATTTTCTCCCATTTTTATTCTCCTATTGATTTTTCTTTCATTTCACCAGTCACATTTAAAAATATTTTCTGTTTTTTTTTCATTTTTATTTTGCATATATATCTGATTGTGCAAAAGCTTTATCCCTATTTTTGTTGCTTTTTTAAATTTTATAAACAACTGGTATCTCACCTCTGCTTTCTTTAATATAATTCAATTCATAAAAATTTTTAACTGTCATCATTTATGTGGAATTTATATGTTTCTTTAGCATAACACATTTCAATTATATCAAGAATGTCATCTACTTTAATGTACTGATAATAGACAGTATTTAACACTCACAAAAATACATTTAAATTTTTCTTTGATTATAAAGTGCCTTTATTTTATTTGGTTTGGCTTTTAGGTTTGCAATAATTTTTTTAATTGCCATTGTGATGTTGGCTATGCTCCTCCATACTGTGACCAAACACCATCATCCCCTGGAGGAAGCATCGATGACGGGTTTTGGTATTCAACAGGTCAGTCTCTTTAGATCCGTATGTTCCAAGGGACCTTTCTGCTCTCATAGAAATGGCCTACTTATCTGCTGTAATGGCTATTAAGTACCTCATGGGTGGGACCTCCAACTAAAGAGGCAAAATTTTGCTGTATTTTACTGTATTAGAACTAAATGTAAGTAGCCATTTGTGGCTAATGGCCACTGTATTGATGCTGCAGCTCTAGATTATAGTATTATCCAAAATTTTGTATACACTTTTAAGTTTAATGCAGAAGAGCTCCCATTAATTTGAACTATGGTTCCAAAAACATTACTGTTTACACAGAAGACTTTTCACATAAGCATAAATTTTTTTTTAAAAAAAGTAATAGCTTTATTGCATATTCTGGGTGTTCCAAAAATGGCATGGACAGGTTCCCCACTGAATTACATATTTAAATGTCACCTAACTATTGGACTATTGGAAGGGAAAAATACGTAACTCTTACATACTTACAACACATATATAATAGGTGGTACTAGACATGGATGAAAGCTCATGAATGAGTGTATCATATTTGTCATACTAAAATATTTTATAGTTAAAAAGACATTCTTGAAAGAATGATTGGGATTCATACCCACAAGCCAAATGTTTTTAGGCAGCAATTTCATTTAAAACTAGCTAAATATATAAATAACTTATTGTGCTAGCTTCTTATCACTACAAAAAAATAACTGAAATAATCACCTTATATAAATAAACAACTTATTTTCACTTACAGTTTTAGGAATCTGTTCCATTGTCCCTTGGCCCTGTTACTCTAGGGTCTGTGGTGAGGCAGCACATCATGGCGGGAGCATGTTTTAGAGCAAAGCTGTTTACTTCATGGTCAGCACAGAACATGAGAGAGAAGAAAAAAGTTCTAGGTTCCCATGATCCCCTTCAAAGACACCCCTCGCTGGCCAGAAATCTCCCTCCTAAACCCACTCTTAAACTTTCCACCACCTCCCAGTAGTGTTGCTCTGGGATCTGGCTTTTAACACATGGGGTTTGGGAAATATTCCCTGTCCAACTATAACACTATGACATCTTGAAACAAAAGAGCTAAAGAATTAAAGATTCTAAAACACAACCAGGAAATGGCACTGGCAGTTTCTCACTATCAAAAATTACTTGGCATGCAAATAGATTAAATTCTTCATAATAAAATTAAATTTTTATTATTTTGTATTTGATGTATACATGTTAATTGTGTATATTAATGGATTCAATGTTGTATTTCAAAGTATGATTACAATATGTACCATTCAAGTCCCAACAGCCTTTCATTCATCTACCCCCACAACCTTTCCCACTTCTAGCAATCACTCTTCTATAGTCAGATAGACTTTCCTGAGTTTCCTCATATTAGAGAACATGTGGTGCTTTTTTAAAGTCTGTTCCATATATTTGCCTTCAAATAAACAGGATTACACTTTTATTCATTGTTGAATAATACTGCACTGTATGTATATACCAAAATTCCTCTCTAGTCCGATGACTTGCCCCTTGGCTGATTCCATGTCACATCTGTTTTAAATACTGCCTCAGTAATATGCAGGTATATCTTTGGGATGCTGATTTCATTTCTTCTGGGTATACACCTAGAAGTGAAATATCTGGATCATCTGGTAGGCTATTTTTAGCTCTTTTATATTTTTATTAGTGCACATTAGTAATAAAGAATAATGATGCATATTTTGGTGTATTGATACATGCATATGACATTCTGATGTTTTAATCCCTAATTCTTCTCTCTCTTTACTTCCCCTCCCTGAGCTCTTTCCCCATTGCTGGAAGTCAGCCTTCCAGGCTCCTACCATCTCCTTGTCTGTACATTTGTATTAATGTATGTATGGATGAATTTACTCATTTTTGATTGATCACATAAAAAACACGTAATATTTCCCTTTCTGAGATTGGCTTTTTGTTTAAGATGATCTCTACTCCCATGCACTTATCTAGATATAACATGTTTCTTATTTTACACAGCTTAAAAATATGCATTTACTGATGGGCATGTAGGCTGCTTCTAAAGCATAGCTATTCTGAATTGTTGTTGATGTACATATATAACTATAGTATGCTATCTTTGTTTCCTTTGAGACTATACCCAGGTTCAGCAAGATCAAATGATGTTTCTCATTTTAGTTTTTTGAGTGATATCCATACTGATTTTCACAATAGTTGTACCAGTTAGCATTCCACCAGCAGTATGTGGGGGTTCTTTTTCCCCATATCCTCACCAGCATTCATTGTTTTTTTGTATAATTGATGGACAGACATTCTGTGATGAGATGAAATCTCAATGTCATTTTGAGTTCTACATCCCTAATTTTAAGGGTGTTGAAAAGTTTTCATGTACTTACTGTTCATTTGCAACTATTTGAGAATCATCAATTCTATTTATTTGCCTATTTCTTGATTGGATTATTTGGTTTTTCTGCAGTTAATTTTTTTAGTTCCTTGTATATTCTATTAATACTGTGTTAATAAGGACTAATACTTAATCAGAAGAGTACTTAAGAAACATTTGATCCTATTCCATATATTGTTTTTTATTGTATTGGCTATTTCCTTAGCTGTGCAGATACTTTTTAATTTTCTGTAGTCTCATTTGCTGATCCTTTTTTTCCTATTGAATCTCCTTAATGTTCCCATTTGCTGATTCTTGATATTTTTTATTGTGCTATTTGGATCATATTCAAGAAATCTTTCCCTGTGCATACATCCTCAAATATTTTCCTTATATTTTCTTCCAAGTGTTTCAAGGTTCTGGTCTTTTTTCCCTTTGGTTTATTGTTTTTCTTTCTTTTTTTCTTTTTTTTTTGGGGGGGGGTGGAAAGGTTGGTTTAGTATTGTTTTGTTTTGGTTTGGTTTGGTTTGGTTTTTGGTTTTTTGAGCTAGGATCTTGCTATGTAGTCCAGGTTAAGTCTGAACTCACTATGTAGCCCAGGCTGATCTTGAGCTTGTGGCAATCCTCTTGCCTGAACCTCTTCAGTGCTAGGATTACAGGCATGTGCCATCACTCCTGGATAACTTTCCAGTCTTGTATTTAGATCTTTGGCCCTTTAAATTTTTAGTACAGGTTTTTAGGTATTTTTAGGATTTCTTCTCTTGAAGTTTTTGAGGTCTTCCATGTTAAAAAAAAATGACATGTCATCGACAAACAGGAATAATTCTACTTCTTTCCTTCCTATTTGTATCCCTTTTATTTTCTTCTGTCATCTAATTGATCTTATTAAATTTTCAAGTACTATATGGAACAGGAATGTTAAAAGTAGATGCACTTATTTCCTTCCAATTTCAGAGAAGCTTGTGTCTTTCCCAATTAGGTATGACATTGGATATACATCCAAAAGGCAATTCTATATGGCTTTTATCAATTTGTGGAAAGATTCTTTTGTTAATTATTTCCTTTGGTTTTTTTATCATGAAGAAATGTTGAATGTTGGTGGAAGGCTCTTTTCCTTGGCCTCCCCTCACAGGGAGTAAAGAGTTCCCAAGACAACCTCATCACTAGTTCTAAATTTCAAGTAGTACCTGAATCCAACAGATTTGAAATCTGTATGACTGGCTATTGCAGTAGTGGGTACTGAGTGACTGTGTACACATCTAGGGACTTCAGGCAGCAGCCAGGCTACTTCCACAGCCCCTTGTCTCCTTCCTGGGGAGGTCATATAACTCCTCTGAAATGGTGCCGTAGCAGGCCCAATTTTCAAATAGTACTGGGATCATGAGATGTGCAACTGTTTTCTGGGTGCCACATGCAATAACCCTGCCATTCACACCATATGCAGCCTTTTCCTTGGGGGGCATGACACTCTCTCAAGATAGCATCCTCTCCAGATCTTGATCTGTTTAGCTTCGTGCAGACCTCTTAAACAGTTCACTTTCAAACACTCGGTGTCTCATTGAATAAATCAAAGGGAATTATTTTTAATTTCTAGTATGAACTGGTGATAAAAACATAACAAATTAGAAACTTGGTTTGAATTAAAAAATAGGAAATAATGAAGCAAGTTCTGAGAAGGAATTTTATATCTACATTGGAAAAGTGCCTACTTTAGAAAAGCAGAACAATCCTAAATAGTCTTATGATACATCTTAAGGTCCTATAAAATAAGAACAAGTCAAGAAAAAAACCAATAGAAAGGGAAAATTAATTAAGATCAGAGTTGAATTTAGTGAATACAGAATATAAGAACAATACAAATGATTACTGGAGATAAGCATAGCAAGAGAGATATAGGATAGGAGATACTCGCTTCAAATTAATGTGTATAGTGTGCTTCAGAAAATCAACCAGAGTGCAGTCATTGATTTAGGACCCATGAGTCCTAAGGACAGAAAGAAACAAGGGCACAGTCTTGGATAGGGACTAGGAACCAGTCAGGTCTACAGTGGCTGTGACCAGTGTAATCTGTGAGTAGAGGAAAACACTAAGGTAGCACCAGGATGGGCCCACCACTCACTGCCATGCCAATAGCTGCCCAACTTGGTGCTCACAAGATAATGTGCTGTCCAAATGCCACAGCACATGGAGCTCATGAGAGATTTAGTGTATTATCCTCTAAAACCTGTTAAACTTTAACAGGAACTGCATGAGCTCCCTGACATTAGCTCCTGGATACTGCTGAAGTGTAGGGAGTAAGGCCTTCCCCTGCTGAACACTAGCAGTCCTAAGCTCTCAACCTAGAAGGGAAACCTGTGAAAGAGATGGACAGATAATGATGGTAGGCTACTGAGAATCGCATAGTGTACTCTCTCAGAGTGTCTCCATGTGGGTGGGATTTTTTTTCCTTTGGTTTATATATGTGCTGTGTTTATGTATGTGAAGCAGTATAAAAATTAATGAATGCTTTAGTTCAAATTCACAAGTTCAATAGAAATATGATAATAAGCTATCTACAAAACCCTTAACTCATCAAAAATTGATTTCATAGACATGGAATAAGAAACTACAGACAAGGTACAAAAACCAAATGGTTAAAATG